TTTCAGCCCTTTTGTTGAAGAGAAAAATCTATTTAAGTGGCTGAAGCTCTGACACAAAGCAAGAGCAGAAAGCTGTAGAATCTGCTGGCTTAATTGATTATTTGCGCAGAGCTGTATATCAGCGAGGTGCAGTATACCCTTGGGAAATAATGTACAACAGATAACAAGATCAAATGTGGAAGAATTGCTTTCTACTGCCAGCTTTATTAATCTGTTTCTCTCTTAGTCAAAATGGCTTTTTTTCCCCTCTCCTCTATGCAGGTTTTTGCATTAAGGCAAGGTACGCCTCTGCGTCCCAAGTAGCATAAAAGCTACAGCTGAGGGAGGTTTTATGAAGCTGTTTTGATTTGAAAGAATATGGGTGGCTCATGATTTCAACATTAGCTTAGCAATCGAGCTGTGTGTGGCAGGGAAATTGAAAGGGTTTAGCTGCATTTTGGCTTGCTTTTTAAGAATTAGAATTGGAATTATTCAGTAGCAAGATGCTTTAGAGACTTAATTTACTTTAAAACTGATCTGTTAGCTAGGACATTAGCGGGCTCAAACGTGCTTGTATTTTGGCCTTAAAAGATCAAGCTTGAGGAAAATACACAACACTTGCTTGCTTGCTTGCAGATTTACACCAGTGAAACAGCCACAATACCCTCATGCAAATGGCCTTGTAGGTTCACTCTTTATAGTCGAGATGCTGCGAGTGTTTGTATTAAATCCAAATCAAACCAAGTGCTCTCTAATTCCACATTCTCTCATAGTGCATTTACATAATAAAAATTGCATAGCAGTCTCACAATCTACTAGACATCCTTCCTCAAACATCTCTCTAAGCCATTTCCAACTCTGTAAACTGATTTGTTTTTCTTATTCATGGGGTCTTGCGGCACATCAGACATGACTGTAATTGCCTTCCTCTCACCAGGGAGCTTCTTGTTTCTCATTCTGAAGTTTATTCTCTATTTCATATCACCAAGGCAAAGAGAGAGACGGCACCCTGGGAGAAATGACACTCCCTCCGTCACCAAGAGGAGAGTGAAAAGATAAGAACGGTGGATAAATATCTGCAAATGCGCAGCTCGAAATGATGCCAGCACAATGCTCTCGCTTTAAAATGAATGGGTGTTTATAAGTACACTTCCTGTGAGTTTGGGAAAACTGTGGCAGTTTGCATTAGCGAACGCAGCGTAATGCACAAACAAGCTGATGTTAGTCAGAGGGACCATCTGGATTGCCTGTGTTTTTATGAAATCAACTCTTTGGATTACTCCACTCGTTCTCTAATTGAGCTGCTTCGTTTAGCACGGCGGTACCGCTCTAAATGGCCAGTTTATATTGACTGCTAAAAGGGCTGCTCGCCCCGGGAGGTGATGATCTACAGAGCGGCAGGAAGTGGGAATGAACCTCAGGTTATTTACGTCAGCACTCCCTCAAATGAGACCTCTGCAAAAGTGCGATCCTTGGCAGCTGCACGCAGCTCTGCGTCTGCCTGTAATTTCAACTCTTCCAGAATCAGATCCTGTCAGGTGTAATTACGCAACAGATGAAGGTACCAGGCTGGTGGTTTTCCCTTTTACAAACTAAATCTAAATCTTAGTCTGGGAAGAAATGCAGTCATTATTAAATCTTTGTTTTTCTACCATTTTTGAGGCATTTTAGGTTACAGAGCTCAGAATTTATTTTTTTTGTGTATGTCAACAAGCTCCGCTCTCTGCATCCATGAAAGGAGGTGGGATAATGTCAGCTCAGCTTAATACATTTCTAATGGATGTTTTATTTTAAGCCTGAGGGTGCGTCTGAAGTGTTTGGACATTTGGAGATTTGAGGGGGTGGAAGAATACCTGAGAAATGCAGCCAGTTTTGCAACAAGATATTTGGAAACATTTATAATGCCATTTTAACTGTCTGCTTGGTTCAAGAAAACATTAGCTCACTTTTCTCATCCTCTAAGACTTTAAATGGTTGTGCAAGGTATGCTAATGATATTAGGGAAAATTCACCAAAAATGAAATTATTCTGTCATCATTTACCCATTTGTTGTTCTAAAATCTGTATGACTTTCTTTATTTTGTGGAACACAGAAGATTTTGAATAAAGGCTGTTTTTTTTGTTTGTCGGTTTGTTTGGTTTTTTTTGCTTTTTTTTTATGAAAGTCAATGGGCTCTTCAGTTGTTTAGACCCAACATTCTTCAAAATATCTTCATTTGTGTTCTGCAGAAGAAAAAATACATTTTGGTGAGTAAATGCTGACATAATTGTTTTTTTTGGGGGTGGGAGGGGTCGTCAACTATCATTTTAATTCACCTCCTGCTTCTATTAGTTATTAACTCAGCCTCGCTGTGGTTTAGCATTCATATCACCCTTTGAAGGGAATACATGCCAAACATTTTATAATGCAGTGGTTTTCAAACTGGGGGCTGAAAGGGAAAAAAAAAAAAAAAAAAAAAAAACGTTTTAATTAAAATCAGAAATTTCTATCATCATATCAAGTTGGTTTGCAAGGCAAAGTTTTAGAATTAGGTACCATTTGATGTTATGCAAATCCATCTGTGGTCTGTTAACGGTCTGCTCTGGTTCTCCTCACTTCACCGCCAGTGGAGGATGAAGCAGGTTTTCAGGCTGAATCAATCCAACATTGCTATTACGCTGCATTAACATTACATGAATCCACCTGCATGTATCAAAATGCAAAATGGTTTGAACTGGAAAATTTAAAAGCCAGCCACTTATGTAATTAAATGCCCAAGAAAATGAAATGTGCAGTACAACTATCAATTTGGCAACATGATTTTTCTGTCTACATTCTGTTGTTTTATAATCCATTGGTTTAAGAAGGGTTAAATGTTCTATTATAATAAGTGCATTGGTATATGCATTGGTGGTATTTGTACAACAAATACCAAGAATGCAGTGTGTCATTGTGTACGAATGCATAGCATTTTCTTGTGTCTTGATTAAAAATTTATTTGACAAGAATGTCATTAGCCTATGAAATATGTTTAAAAAAATTTATTAAAAAGATATGATACCACCATTAATTTTAATTTTTTTAAATGAAATGTTTATGAAAGAAGCTCACCAAAGCCGCATGTATTTATCTGTCAAAATACAGTGAATTGTATATTGTTAAATATTTTTACAAATTGAAATAACTGTTTCTATTGGAATATATTTTAAAATGTAATTCATCCCTGTGATACAAAGCTGAATTTTCAGCAGTAATTACTCTTGATCCTTCAAAAATAATTATAATATGCTGATTTGCTGTTCAAGAAGAGAGTTTTTGTAGCATTTACTGTTTACTGTCTATTTAATGTCACTTTTGATCAATTTAATGCATTCTTGCTATATTTATTATAAGTGTTCATTTCATTAAAAACAAGACCCCAAAGCCTTAAATGGTATAGTGTATAAAACCACACGTGTGGTCTCAATGTGTTCACTGCTTTTTTAAGTATAAGCAAGAGCTCACAGAATATTGGTTTGACAATCCCCAGTTGAAACAGGTTGACGGTGGGCAGAATCGATACGCGTCTGGTCATGGAATCGGCTGTAAAGTTATTTTGTATTCCATTAGTGGTCTAAGGTGCTTAGCAAGAGCCATCAAAAAGGTTGATGCACGCAAGCCTTCCAAAACACTTGTGTCCTTCTTTCTATTCTTGGATTACTCTGTGTAATTTGAGGTCAGAAATAAAAGAACGGGGCCTATTTTGTACATAGCTGAAATGTTTTTTCTTCTGTTTCAAAGACAGTCACTCCAACTATGTATCATCAGATGAAGATAGCTGAAATTGAAATGCCATTTTGCAGTATTGCCTCTTAAGAACCATACTTTGTACTTGACGTACAACCCTCAAAAAGGGCCAAACAAAAGGACTTGAAGGCCCAGAGTAATACTTTGCTAATGCCTGGTGAGCAAGGTCGGGATATTAACCTCACAGCGTGTTCTTCAGCTGAAGTCTGTATTATACCTATATCGTTGTCGGGTTAATTACTAGGCTTAGAGGCACAAAGGACTGCTGCTTATTTTTAGTGTGACCTTATAGTGAATGCCCTGTCTTATATACAAAAAGAAGTGCTTCTCTGATTGCTGCACAGCCAGAAATTGGTGGCAGTTTCTCCTGAATAATAAAGACATGATCATTTTAGTGAGCTGCACTTAAATTTTACTGTAGAGTTTTCACAGAAATATTTTTATTTAAAAAGACTTATTTGATGTGGATTTAGCCAGGAAAATATACTTGGCCACACACCACAGGAAGCTGAATTGGAATGACAGGAAGAGGAGTTTACTGAATTGCAAATCAACACAGCATTCTGAGAAATGCCTGGTCCACAAAACATTTATTAAATATGATAAGCGGTCAATCATCCAATCTGTCTGTCTGTCTGTCTGTCTACAAGGCTTTTTAAAATCTTTTAAAAAACTTTCACAGTTTATCAAGCCTGTACTTTGTATTTGACTTTGTTTTTCTATTAAAACCAATAAATAAATACGTTTGTTATATGAATTTCGTTGAACGTGTTTATTTTAATGTTTCTTCCTTAAATTCAGATTTCATAGCTGAATTTCTTCCTTCGTTACTTATATTCAAATTCAAATTTCATCACTGAATTTCAGTTCATTTTAATGTTACTTCCTTAAATTCAAATTTAAATTTCATATTTTCATCATGTTTTATACCTTAATTCAAATTCAGGAATTTAACTGAAATTTCAAAAGCATTTTCAATTCAGTTTTGAATGGTGCACAGTCCTGATTTCACTATTTTTAACCCATTGATTGATTGATTGATTGAGTGATTGATTGATTGATTGATTTTTTGTCTTTTACTTTTTTCCTTTTGGTTTTGTTTTACTTTATATGAGACGATTATGACTGTCAATCTCCAAAAAGCACAATAAAATGACTATATGTAGTCTGTGTTTCAGCTCTTGCCCTTTATCTTTCAAATTTTGCATATTATTGATACATCCTGATGTAGTATTTTCTCTTTGTTTTCTATCAGATCACACCGGGAGTGTTTCCATCATGAGACTGGTGTTGAAGTACCTGGACAAGATGAGGTGTTTCCGGAAACGTTCCACCATTCCTTTTCTGGTGGCTCTCATTACCTTCCTGCTCTTCATAAACCTCTACATCGAGGATGGCTATGTGCTGGTGAGTTTGTTTACCTGTTAAAATCCAGCAGGTAAATTACAGAGGTCAATTTATTTACAACATCAGTGGAGCAGATAACAAGACAATAGTGGGCTTCACAACAACTTGACTACTGTTGTTGCATGTGATTTAGCATTAATTATCTCTGTGCTGAAAAGTTATTTTGTTTATATGCTTTAATTACCAAATGTTGCATGTAAGACTGCCGGTGCTGTGCTGTGCATCTATAATTATCAGAGCTCATGCTGCAGCCTATTTAAAATTTCATGATGTAGAGGCAGTCCAAATGCAAGAGACACATTTATTATTCATGAGGCCAACTTTATGATCAAAACTTTGTGATCATAACATGTCGCGTGTGTTTGTCTGTTGAATTATTCAAAAGTTGTACCCATTTTGACTGTCACTTTTCTAAATAACCCCCATTTAACTGAAATACAAACACCGTCACAGCCAGCAACATTTTTTTAACGTGCGAACAGTTCATGTGTGGTAAAAGACATTGAAGTATAGCAACGATGCCACAATTTAATACAAGATCATTTATTTTAAAAGTTGAGTGAGTAATTTTGTGTGTACAATTAATTATTCAAAGGCCATCATTTACATTTAATGAGCTTATACAAGAGTGTGCAAGAATATTGCCAAATCTAAAAATAATGACCTGCAGCGCTTACACTTAAAGATGCAAAAGTAGTCTTAGCATTTCATGTTCATATATTCTGGAGACTCTTTCAAGCTTTAGGAATGCTGTGACAAACTTTGACTTACTTTAGACTTGTGACAAACTTTAGAATTGTCTGTCTTGGATGTCATGTGTTTCAGGAGGAAGACAAACGTCAGTTACGAGAAACCTCAATGCATCCTCTGAACTCAGAGCGATATGTTCATACCTTTAAAGATATGACCAATTTTTCTGGAACGATCAATGTGACTTATCGGTACCTCGCTGGAACACCTTTACCTCGAAAGAGTAAGATCGCTTTCCTTTGTACACATTAGTATTATCAGTACACACATAGTTTAACAAATTCTAAACAAATGAGTAAAACAAAATTATGTACAATATGCAAAACTGCATAACTCTATTATCTATGATCTAGCATTTTGAGTTGCACATTTATTTATTTATTATGCCTTCTTCAGTATGTGTATGTAGGCACACACAAACACACACACACACACACACATACAGGTGCATCTCAGTAAATTAGAATGTCGTGGAAAAAGTATTCTAATTTGTTGAGCATTGGTGGGTTTTTCTTAAATGTGAGCCAAAATCATCACAATTAAAAGAACCAAAGACTTAAACTACTTCAGTCTGTGTGCATTGAATTTATTTAATACACGAGTTTCACAATTTGAGTTGAATTACTGAAATAAATGAACTTTTCCACGACATTCTAATTTATTGAGATGCACCTGTATATACCACTATACATACAGAAGGCAAAAAAATTATAAATGCACAATTCGAAATACTAGATCATGGGCCTCGTTTATAAAATGTTGCGCAGAAACCATCCTAAATTTGATATTACAGTCATCTCTCAAATATACGTATGTGTGATTCATAGAATGAACGTACGCACAGAAAACACACGTACGCCTCTCTTTCAGATGTGAAATCTATGAATCGTAAATGATCTTGAACTTGCACGCAACTGAATTGTTTCAGTTCTCTGCCTTGTAAATGACTCCAAATTATTGTCATTAACATAAAAGATCACCTGTCATCGTCCAAACAGCGGGCTGCAAGAACAACTTACATTTTCAAAAACCTGCAGTACTCTGACAAGAAAAGTGTGTATGTCTGCTCAGACCCTGATGTGATGCTAAGCACTTTTCCATGTCAAAGGTTTCTACAAATAATGAGCATTGGCGTGGATTTAAGCATACACACACTCTAAAGTCAAATCTGAGCATACGCATGCTTTATAAATGAGGGCCCACATGTCTAGATTAAGTCTCTTTAAAAATGCTTTTCTTAAATTTCAAAAAAATGTAAAAAGTAAAAAAGTTGAACATCCATAAAATTAGATCACTTCCTAAACAAAATTAATACTTTTATTAAATTAGCAAATAGCTTGTTCTTGCTTTAAGCTTACATTTAATAAGGTCTAGTGAGAGTTATGCATAAATAAGAAAAAAAATCCCCAATGGGTTAAGAACTTTATTTGAGACATTTTATCCAAAAACAACTTTTTATATTTTACGTAATTTTGCTTCAGTTATATGTATCTTGGTTTTTTTACAAAAATATGAAAAACTTTTTCACAGACTATTCTATAGTATTCACAGTGTAGACAAGGTGTCAGATCAGTCCAAGGCATACATTCTCTTACTCCATTATTCATCATGTTCTTTTGCAGAGTATCTCACCATTGGATTGTCATCTGTGAAAAGAAAACGAGGAAACTACCTGCTGGAAACCATCAAGTCCATTTTTGACCAATCAAGCTACGAGGAGCTCAAAGAGATCATTGTGGTTGTCCACTTGGCAGACTTTGACCTGGCATGGTGCGAGAGCCTAGTTCAGGAAATCTCAAGGAAGTTCGGCCACCATATCATTGCAGGACGGCTGCTAGTTATCCATGCACCTGAGGAGTACTACCCGTCCCTGGATGGGCTGAAGAGAAATTACAATGATCCAGAGGATAGAGTACGCTTCCGTTCCAAACAGAATGTAGATTACGCGTTCCTGCTCAACTTCTGCACCAACCTGTCAGACTTCTACATGATGTTGGAGGATGATGTGCGCTGTTCTCGAAACTTCCTCACTGCCCTGAAGAAAGTGGTGGCATCTAGGGAGGGATCATATTGGGTGATGTTGGAATTCTCCAAACTGGGCTACATAGGGAAGCTGTACCACTCGCGAGACCTTCCTAGACTTGCCCATTTCCTGCTCATGTTCTATCAGGAGATGCCTTGCGATTGGCTTCTTATCCATTTCCGAGGCCTACTGGCCCAGAAGGATGCAATTCGCTTCAAGCCTTCCCTTTTCCAACACATGGGCTACTATTCCTCCTATAAGGGGGCAGAAAATAAACTTAAGGATGATGACTTTGAGGAAGACTCCCTTGATATCCCAGACAACCCACCTGCCAGTTTGTATACAAACATAAATGTATTTGAGAGCTATGATGCTGCCAAAGCTTACAGTAGCGTGGATGAGTACTTTTGGGGCAAGGCTCCATCCACTGGGGACTTTTATGTAATAGTATTCAACAAAGCAACAAAAATCAGCAAAATCAAGATCATCACGGGAACGGATGATCGGCAGAATGATATTTTGCATCACGGAGCTCTGGAAGTGGGGGAGAAATTAGTAGGGACCAAAAAGGGAAGGCAGTGCTCCACCTATATAACTTTAGGGGAGTTTAAAAATGGAAACATTGAGATTTTTCATGTCATAAAAACGTCTCAGGTTATTCATGTAACCATGGTTCCCCGAGAGGGAACGAGATGCTACGCCCCCTATGGGGCACATTGGGGAATGCAGCCTGCATGACCGGTTTCTGAAGCACGTGTGAAACAACGCCAATCTATTGGCCCACCTGGCCCATGACGTCATAGGCGGGATGCCCGGAAGTGTAAAAGGGCACCTGCTGAATATGTCATCCTCTTTGCTGTCATCAGGAGCCATCTGTTAGAAGTGCGCGTGAGAGACCAAGGCAGGTGAGTGGACTTTTATGTAATAGTATTCAACAAAGCAACAAAAATCAGCAAAATCAAGATCATCACGGGAACGGATGATCGGCAGAATGATATTTTGCATCACGGAGCTCTGGAAGTGGGGGAGAAATTAGTAGGGACCAAAAAGGGAAGGCAGTGCTCCACCTATATAACTTTAGGGGAGTTTAAAAATGGAAACATTGAGGTTCATGATGTGGACCACAAGATAGCATTTGATATTGAGTGTGTTCGCATTGTGGTAACGGCAAGTCAGAAAGAATGGCTTATCATTAGAAGCATAAGCCTCTGGACTACACAAGGTGCCAGTCAATGAGAGCTATGTGAACCGTAGCTAAAGGCACAAGTATCTGTTTATTTATCTATTTATTTATTTCTGCAATTTCTAAATTATTTATTCACCTGAGAAATCTTTACTTATTCAAATTTATTAATTCAATCAGACTAATTTAAATGCAGTACAAGATTTCACACATCTGAGGCATTTCAGCTAATTCTGACATCAAATTCAGACAATAAAGATTTTTTAATATATAAAGACATTTAGAGTACATATTTGTGTACCCTCTTTTTCCATTATTACTACATAATGTGTACTCCTCAGCAAAAAAACCTCTGAGAAGCTATACTGTTTTGACTGTCCTTTGGCCAAGGTATACACTGCAAAAAAAATATATATATATACTGTATATTTTTTTTTTTTCTTTTTGCCCCTTAAATTCAACCCAGACCCATTTATGCGTCAGGAGCTTGCGCGTTCAGTGCTCGAGGGCTCTGAACTCACTCATTGTGAGTGTTATCCAATGAGAAGCTCCATTCGCGTTTGTCCCTCTTCTCGAGAGATGAGTGACAAACGTTTGCATCTCGCAGTTCGGGTCGCGCTGTTGCCAAGGCACGGCGAATACTCGGATCACGGGGTTGAAATGCCCTTTTTGGGTTATCGGATCCCACGGATAGCGTTTGAGTCGAGCAGCACCTTAGGGAATGTGTGCCTCCGTGTTTGGATTCTAATGGCGCTTTTCCACTGCATGGTACGGCACGGTATGGCACAGTACGGTTCACTTTTGGGGGATTTTCCACTGGGTACAGTACCTGGTACCTGGTACTACCAAAACGTGACGTGTAAACTCTGCTGATCACGGATTGGCCGGAGAGAATCGTCACTACCTGCATCACTGAACTTGTGACACGAACACAACAGAACCACTAGATTTAAATCAGCACAGCCAGCGAAGGACCAAATGCAGATGTTTTGAACGAGCGCACCTTTTTTTAACAACCAAAAAGTGGCTGTTTCGTTTTCTGTTGAGTAAGTACAGACATTCCTCTCGTTGATAGCAGAGGAGCGGATCCAGTGAGAGCTTGATGGGGTGACGCGGAATGAAAACGTTTTTCAGGAGTCGCGGCAGTAGAGGCAGCGCAACTATAACAACATGTGAATAATCCCGCCCACTCTAGCGATACTAAACTGCAGTGGAAACGCAAACCGAGCCGAGCCGTGCCGTACTGAGCCATGCCGAGCCGAGTCGTACCACACAGTGGAAAAGCGCCATAACACTTGAGGGCATGTTCTGCTTTCGCAGTTGTCTTGGCGAAGAGCACGCGCATTCAGAGTTAAGCGCTCATTGTGATAAGTCCCGATGTCTAGACTCCGCTCGCGTTTGTTCCTATTCCCGAGGGATACGGAACAGAGCGTTTGTGTCTCGCGGCCCGGTTCCGCCGTTGCTGCAGCACAGTTATCTCAACTCGCGGTCATTGCTTTGATCTGCGGCATCCGCACACCCTCTCTATACGGTTGTCAGATGCCACGGATATTGTTGGGTTGTTATTATGACAATGAAGTGTGAGCACAGAGTTGTTTCAACCCTGATCCTGCGAGATCGGGGCGGAGCTATATTCAGCTCGGCCGTGCCTCTCTAATATGCATGTTAATGTGTGTGGAGAGCCTCGCTTGGTGTGAAAATATTTAAATATCCTGTGGAGAGAGGCTTGCAAGTTTTCTCTCCCAGGGTTTTCAGCACCTAGAGTGGTTATGGGGAATATATTTTTGCTCTGGAATATGGCGGTCTGAGGGCAGCTATATTCTAGCCTAGATTCTAATAACTAGGTTGGGTTGCCATTCACGTTTCTCCCTCTTCTATTCGAGAATAGCTGTGTTCCAGCGCAGAGACCACTTTCCTTTTAGGGTTTTTAGATTGTGGTCTCTGTGAGCCCCTTGCCTGGACTGTGCTATCTCCCCTTCGGGGTTTTAAATAGATGGCCCACTTCTGTGGCCTGGGCAATCTTCAGCCTTATCTGAGAGAACTGCTATTCGAGGATAGCTGTGTCCAGCCCTCTTGTGCTATGGCTACTGCTTACATCAGGCTTGATCTCGGACTATGATGTTTGTGTTCGCTCTTTAGCGAATCATTAACTGATGGTCTGGATCTCCTTCTTGTGAGATCTTGGTCAATAGCACGGTGCTTTGCTAGCCTGCTGTGGGACTGACACGGATTGGGGACCTCCTTGATATAGCTTTCTGAGGGTGGTTATATTCCAGCCATTCTCTCCTTACTTGGGCTTTAAGTAGCAATCTTTTTGAGCTCCTATCTAGAGGGTTTCTAGTTTGCCTCTTCAGTGGTCTTGTGTATCCAGGCTAGTTCTGCTCACATAGCATAGCTATCTGAGGATAGCTGTTCTCTTAACTTGGATGGGATGTTCCCCTTGATCTATTCGGGTTCCCCCATTTCTGCCAAGTTGCATGAGTGGTCAGTGGCATGGTCCCTTTCTGAGGAAAGGCTTTATGCCTGTCGCTTCCTTGGTGCTCTCCCACCAGGTGGACAGGCATGCGCCTCGGCATGGCGTGATTGGATTTTGTTCCCCGCAGCGTTGAGTTCCCTAGAAGGGGAACGTCTCGGGTTACGCATGTAACCATGGTTCCCCGAGAGGGAAC